TGTGGAGACTGAATCAGTTGGAGATGCTAAACAAACACACCGGTCGTCCAAAAACAAAGCCTGTTCATATGTCAATAATTGAAGCAGTGCGTAAGATAGAGTGTTGGTGAAAACCCAGGAACATCAATTTGGCATTGTGGATAAGAATTGCAAATTTCAAGAAGCGTATACTCACAAAAGATTTGTGTCTTCATGCTTACAAAATTCAATTAACACAACAACTGAAGCCTAATAACCATGAACAGCGAAGAGAGTTTGTGGAATGGATTATTAATCATCAAAAGGTATATGCTGGTTTTTCTAGCAAAATAATCCTAAGTGATGAAGCACATTTTCATCTTGATGGCTTTGTTAATTGCCGTGTTTGGAATTCGGAGAACCCACGTGTGATTAGCAAAAAACAAATGCACCCACAACGTGCCACTGTTTGGAGCGGATTTTGGGAGGAGGCATTATTGGACCATACGTTTTTTAGAATGAAGCTGGTCAAGCAGCAACTGTTAATGGTGCTCGATATCGCGACATGATAAACACAGTTCTTTCTGCCGAAATTGGATGATATTGATGGCCAATATATAGTTTCAACAAGGCAGTTCCACATGCCATACAGCCAATAAAACAATTTAATTACTGCATGAGACATTTCTTGATCGTGTAATCTCTCGTTTCGGTGATCAGGATTGGTCCCCTAGATCATGTGATTTAACATCATTAGATTTCTTCTTATGGGGTTATTTGAAGTCAAAGGTCTATGTCAACAATCCCACAACCACAGGAGCATTACAAGAGGAAATTAAACACTGCATCAACGAAATTCAGCCACAATTATGCAGAAAGGTCATGAAAACTTTCGACGAAAGGGTGCGTATGTGCCCGAAAAGCTGTGGAGGTCATTTGCCCGATGTGTTATTCTATATTTCTGGGATGTCCGATGGATATCCCAGAAAACTGTCGCCATTCCAATTCTCCCTTTGTGGATCACTGACTGCGGATTTTGTATCTAGGCTGTAATGGTGAATTCAGGTTTCATCTCAGTGATTATCATCAGAAAAAACTCCAATTTGATGCACCTGAATTGTGCCACCACAGTGGTGCAAATGTCCATTCAGATAAATTTTTGGTCCAAAGTGAGCAAATGCAGCCCCCAACATGCAGCCAGCTTTTGCATATCTAAATCTTGGTTCAATATGAGGCAAACACATTCTTTGGAATGCTCACAGCCTCTACCATCTCTCTAACCTTGATTTGATGGTCGCCCAGCACCATTTGGTGAATTTTAGCAATGTTTTCATCAGTGGTGGTAATTTTTGGCTATCCTGAACATCCAGATTCAAGCTGATAAGGCCACATTTAAATTCAGCTGCCCAAAATTTTATATTTGTAAATAACTGTGTATATTACCCACTTACAGCCTCCAACATCCCATTAATCTGTGTAACCTTTCAAAAACAACTATCTAATCACAGCTCAATACTAGATTTTTTTACATTTTTGCAAAACCAGTCACATTAAACCACAATAACAATTGTAAAACAAAAGATTAAAGTTAAAAATAGCTGAAATTTAGATTAGAAGTTATCAACTGACACCCAAACAAATTCTCCATCTTTAGCTGATTCATTCTGCCATCTACATATCAAGATAAGAAACTTTTCAGACAGGCTTTGTATGCATTCCTGATTATCAAAAGCATGGAAAGATGTCTGCTAGTAACATATTGCACCATTTACAGGCAAATAAATTAGGACATTTTCAGAGGACTATTTCAGAGGAGGAGAGGAGAAAAGAAGGTGTAGTATGCAAACAGAATTTAAAAAAATAATAAAGTGACATGTGGGAAAGCAAGGAATGCCTGTGGCACTACATATTCCAGACTGTTTCGAAATATACCATTCTGTACAAGATAGTTAATAAACAGAACTGGTATTCACATCTATGAAAAATACTTTGTGCACGACTGAGTCTTCTCAGTGATGCCTCATGGTGAGTGTAGCATTTTGGCATGTGCATTTATGAATCAGTTTCCAGAAGAAGCAATTTAGTGCCAGATAAAGAAAACAGCTGCTCATATAAATGTTATCCACATGAAACATGTTTATATAACTTTTAGATAAAACATATTACCTACATTTCGCATCCCAACAGACACAAACAGCATAAATCAGCAAGAAAAAAAGCGAAATAATTTTAATATTAAACATATGAATGTTTCTGTCTGATTTAAAAATTCAAAACATTTATGAAACTGAAATTTTCATTTTGTATAAACGTTTAATTTTTAAAAAGAAGCACTGAAAATAAAATCTGTTTCAAATTTTTTTTAACCACAATATTAAAAAACTATTAAGAAAACTTTCTTAATGGACATGTAATAAGAGATATGATAATATGAAACAAACTCAAATTTTTTGCACAAGAGAATTTAATAAATTCAAAAACAGCAGGAGAATTATGTGCAAAAGTAAACACCATCTCCTATCTAAAAACTGATTAACTATAATAGTTAGTGCACTAGTCACTGCTATTCATGACAGTCTTCCAATTATACAATATTTACCAAAACTTTCTGACACCATAAACCTCAGAAAGCATAATCCTGCATATTACGATATACTCTTGAAATACTGGACCTGGGAGACAACTAGCAAGTGGCTTCCAAAAAGACAGTCAAAAACAGGTTATAAAGGCAAAGGTTGTCATTAAGTTTTAATGTTATGTATACATATTGAAGCTGAATGAAGAAAATAAAGGATTGATACACAGTTGAATTAAATGTTACTCTTCATATGAAGAAATAAACTACTGAATAATTTCTATACAGTTTCAATTCACAATCAACAGGTTCTACTTAGCAATTCATAGAGGAGAATATGCTACAAATTAGATTATAATATTGATGATTTAAACAAATTCAGCGCTATCCAATTTTACACTTAGAACTTATAACAAACTTTTTTTTTTTTTTTTTTTTTTTAATGTTACTGGTTGCTCAAAAGGGCTTTTTAAACTTTCTTATGCTCTCACTGAGCTTGCAGTCTACAAGCCTGTTCTTATACTCACGCCTGGTAACCATCTTTTTTTTTCGGGGGGGTTGGCTTTTTTTAACTTTCTTATTAAGCAATGTTTTCTTCATATTTATACCACAAATAATTAAACAGCAAAATCACAAAAATTTTAAGAGCACTATATGTTTGAATTCCTGAATGTGCGCTAGATATTGCCATACATATTTATACTCATTAAATTATTTCTTTAAAAATTAGCCACTTGTGTGGCCAGCTGCTTAACAATTATATACAGACAAAAGTCTTTAATCCAGACTCGTCGGGACTTCGGCGATTCCGGGTTATCACTTTCTCCGGATTATAGATCATCAGTTTAAATCTGGTAAGATGGCATGCAGAAATTATAAAATTAAAAATATGAAACCATAATTTATGAAATAAAGAGCAATTATGATCTAAAGGGTATCAAAATTTACAAAAAAAAAAAAAGCTTAATATTTATTTGTTTACTTTATTAAACATTTCTTTCAACGTGCGCATGCGTAAAGCATACAAATATGCATAGTCGAAATTAGAAATTTGCAACCAGAAAACTATTTTATTTGTACACGTGATATTTATAATGACGAGGAATTTGATTTAAATCATATCAAAGACGGAGTACATAGAGATGAAATACTACATTTAGTAAGGAATTATAAGCCAAATAAAATAAAATCATCTGCCCTGAAGATAAGGACAGTGCTGACAGATCAACTTCCAATTCACTGCACGCCGCGACGTCCCCCTGCCCCCCGCAGAGCAGCGTGAAATTGATAAACAGATTTCGGAATTGTTAGAGAAACAAAGGATATGCCTTTATCCATTTTTTGCAGCAATCCACTTTTTGTTTGAAGGACATCGAAACATGCTTTCGCTTTGCAGAACCTTTGGCAGCTCCAGAATCGGAAATTCTTTTTGACATAATCGAAAGTTCAAGCTTACTTTTATAAAATTGCTCTAACAGTCTGCAAAAAAAAATAATAAGCCAGATTCAATTAGAAGATTAAGGAACAACGCAATCTGCAACATTAACTGAAATAGATAATTAGATAACTTTAGCTTAGCTTATACCGTCTGTTATACATTAAACGCACATGCGTTAACTTATTATGCGCATGTGTAAATGCATATGTGCATGCGTAAAGGTATTATGCGCATGCGTCGATGCATTATGTGTTCATGCATACGCAGAAAGTTTGTAGCTTTGAGGTCACACTAAATCGCATTAAAAAAGTAGGAAAAAATATGAAGAACTTGTGATTATTTCTTTTAAATTCCTTAGTTTATTATTACTCAATAACCTTGCAGATTAAATTTAAAAGTATCTTAGGTTTACTGAATAATGACATGCTGACAAGTGGAATTAAAAGTACCTTATTTCAGACACTGGCAGCATATTGCTTTCAAACAACTGAATTGTTGATCAAAATTGAAAGATAAAAATAAATCTATCTTACATTTTGCTGAATGGCAACAGTCTGGTATGCTGGAGATAAAACTGTTTTATTACAGTTTTGCCACTGCTCGTTTTCAAATCACTGAGTTATTAATCAAAAATTTATTAAATGTGTACAAAATATGAAACAAATAATAAAACAAATTCAAAATTTGGATTTACCGGCACAAATGTTCCGAGTGGAGGACTATGTTATTCAAAATTTGATGGCTCTAGGTACAATCATTTTTCACAATGCAAGGACATACATGCAGATTCTTCATAATTTAATTTCCTTAAAAATAATAAAGGGCGGGCAATAATATCTGGTGGCAACAATTTGAAAAGTTATTTATAATTTACGCCATTTATAATGAACCTATGCAATATTCCATTTCGAGATTAATAACCTTTTTGGGCTTTTAAAAAAAGGATAAAAAAGATGAGACAGAAAATTAGCAACATACATAAACTCTTTAATACACACATTCTTGTCAATTAACATACACTCTTTTTACCTTTCTTCGGTATCCATTTCAGGGCATGAATCAGTCATTTCACTCATTGTATCTATTGGCCTAAGACATGATACTAAACCACAAGTTGGCTGTGAATGCATAGTTGGTTTAAGATCTTGGAGAAGCTTCAGTAATTCTTCATCAGACATGTCATCTTGGAAATAATCTAGAAGCAATTGCATTTCAAAACTAGCAGACTGACACAGATCATCATCTCCACTCATAACCTAAAATGATATATATGTCATAATAAGAGCACAAGGAAAAGGAAAAGACAGAACACTGTAGATGCGTAGTTATCCTATATTGAAGAGGAAGTAATCTGATTGCGTCGTAAGCTAATGTGTTGACTTTGTAAATAAAACTTGGCAGAAGCAATTTTAATTCCATTTTTATTTGCAACTGATATTTGTGGCCACAATCACTTGGTACTCTAGTCGTGCCTTTCCACAAAAGATTTACATTTTTGATATTGTTGAGAAGGAAAGCAAGCCAGCAAAATTACATCTTAGCACAGTAGAGAGCAAAAGCCGAAGTGCGTAGTTATGAAAGAAGGAAGCACGCAAAGAGAAAAGTTTTGGTTTACAATTCGGTGATTGGTCGTCAAGAGGCATCTGGTATTAACGGTTACGTAAGATTGCATGATTAATTTGAATGACGCAATGCAGATAAGTTATTACGATTTTAGAATAAAGAGGAAGAATTAATCTTTATAGTTATATTATAATTCTGATTCATACATTGTTATCTTACATATATATATTTTTTTAAGTTTAAAAGAACTCACAAAAAAATTCATTAATGCAATACTCGTTTGCAGAAAAAACATATCAGATAAAAAAATACTGTTTTTTACTTCCTTGTGGAAGTAAAAAGGAAGTATTGCAATCCCGAAAATTTTCAAGTATCGTACTTCAATGAAAATATCCATTTTTACAGCTACTGAATGCAATTTAATGATGTCTGCATGACATCTGTACTTAAGGACAGAATAAAGGACTCTTTTTCCCAGACGAATTATAAAACTGATTTAAAATGGATTCAGAAGAGATTTTTTTCATGGTGTCTGTACATATGTATCTCGCAAAACTCAAAAACGAATAGAACGTTGAAATTTTGTATGGAGGACTGATATAACATGTAGATGTGCACATCCCTTTTTGGTTGCAACTTGCGAGCACCAAAAGCATATAAATATATGTGTACACATATATATATATATATATATATATATATATATATCCACTCTGTTACACAGCTCACTGAGCTCAGTTTATTCTTATACGTTTGTAAACTGGGCATTTTTTGCTTTAAAAATCATGGAATTACGTTGTTCTTATCTTCCAGTTAAGGTTTTTACACCTTTAGTTAACCTGCATGTTTTAGTTGTACAATTATCAATGATTTAAAAGTTGTTCAAGTTCAGCTAAGCCCAGTTTTTTTTTTTTTTGTGGGGCCACAGCAGTCATATTTGTTTACATTTGAAACTTAGCAGAATAATGGATTTGTTGCCAATCTAGAGAAAACTAAGCTTCGCAACAAGGTAATGTCTCCTTTTATTATTGCGAATTAAATTATGTGAGACCAAAAGTAAAGTTTCAATTTTGTGCACCAAAAAATCTGTCTTCTTGCCTGTTGGCCGAATTGCTTGTTTTTGCATAGAAACTGTCATTTTAACTGTAAAAATTGTTTTTTTAATTTTTTTAACTGTATTTGGTGTCTTATGTTTTTAAAAATTGTTTTTAAAAATTTTTAACTGTATTTGGTGTCTTGTGTTTTTCTATATATTTAAATTTTTAATGACGATATTTTGTGTTTTTATTATTTTGCCTTGCCACGAAGTGAGAACTGAATTAATTGAATGAGAAGAAATACATCTCTAATGAAATTTGAAGAAATAAGTCTTTCATATTAGCAGAAAATACTGTTGCCAGTTTGTTTCAGACAGAGGAGAATGTTTATGAGTAGCGCATGCGCATTAGGTAAGCAGAGCTGAATCATCTGAGAATACTGTTTATTTTTTATTTGTTTAATTTCTTTTATACATCATTTTAGTTTTAGTATAATATTTGAATATAACATGTGGCAACAATTAGATAATTCTTCAGATTTTTTTTTTCCCATTCTGAGTTATAAAATGAATGAGATGTAACACTGTTAAGTGAACTTAGCGTCAGAGTTTTGCTATGGTAAATAGATATAGGGAATTTTAAAAAGCGCATTTATTCTATTCTGATTTATGCACTATCGCCGAAGTAGATTTAATTCAATTCAACAAGTCTAAATGAAATGCAGGAAAAAATGCATATAATTTAATATTCTGTACAAGGAAGTTACATGGTGTATACATCAGATTTTTTTTTTAAATTTCTGAATAAGCTGTGCACACATTGAAAAGATTTAATTTTGTATTTTACTCAAGTCTTTAACATAATACATGTATTATTATTTTTTCAGTTATTAATTTTTCAGCTTAGGCGTATGAATACTATATCCTATTACATACAAATTCAGTCCCAGAATATTAGGAAATGCCCTATATTGCATGGAAAGAATTTCTCAATATTCTTCATGGTTACTGAGAAAAAATTCTAGTTTATCACATTTCTTTTCTATCTATAGAATTAAAATGCTTCATTTCAGATTCAGTTCCTTGCAAACTATTAAATTTTAATATAAAATATATACATACATTCTAAATTTTTATATTTGTCAGATATGATAAAAAGATTAATAAACGTAAAAAATGCAATTTGATTTTTTTTTAAAGTTCTAAAATATAATAAAATATTATTTAATCTTTTGATGATTCAACCCTCATATAATTAAATGAAACAAGTTAGGATACCAGAATTAGTGACTTTTTTTCAAAATTAGCCAAATATAATAAATTTTAAAAACATTATAAAAGCAGGTTTGTATGTATCATTTATTAATAAATCATATTAATATTTTGTATGGTTGATATTCCAAAAAAGGAACTTTTGATTTATAACACAAATATAAAATTATTACTTGTCTAAAATACACTACAGACACAATATAAATGAAATCTGTTATTAAAATAATAAATTTTGGCAAAAAAGTGATTAACAAAATGTATCTATCAATTTATATATATTGAAAAAATGAAAAAATATGTGATCAAGAACTAATGCTGCAAATAGTCTAAGTATTTTTCATTAAAAATATCTTTAAAAAATATTAAAGACTGTAATGAAAAATTCAATCAATACAAACAGGAAACCAACATTAAAAATATAAAATATCAATGCAAATTGAATATGTCGAATAGTGCAGATTTTGAAATTAAATATCTCGGTCATTTTTTTTTTTTTTTAAATATAACTAAAGGGACTGCAGAAATGCATAAAATGCTAGATTTCATATTTTTATAAACTTGATTTCTTTAAGCTTAAAAATGGCAAAACATGAATTTTTGCATCATTTAAAACATTTCTGCAATTGGAAGTACATTTGGTCGTCAACTTAAATCTATTATTTAATTTTTATTTATTTATGAGGAATTGCACTTATGATCACAAAAAATAAGGAAAAAAAATGAATTTTACATTTATAATAAGTATATAAACTTTATGTATAATAAGGATATAAACTTTATGTATATAACCTACATGTAACTACATATTGTTGCGTGCGTACGGGTTCGTTATGAAATGAATGCACAAGTCCGATGAAAAATGAACAAAAATTTATTATCATCACAACAAAAATGCTTAAATTTTCTCAAATTATCATGCAGTATTACAATATCTCACAGTAGTTATCTTTTAACTACTCAAATGTACAATAGAACGTAATTCAAAACAGCTAAAGAACGCTAATCCGCGAATTCGGTATAATCAACAACAGCAGTTTTCTAAACAACAACAAACTAAGCAACTACTACAAACTGAGATGTTTTCCTCCTTTTATAAGATTTTAAAATCACGCGCTAGAATTTTCCAGTACTTTCTCGAAATCAAAAAGAGATATTTATTTATTTAATGCACGCGCTCTTGTATTTTCAATTTTTCCGGCTTAGCTTTCTTTTAATATTCGTCACGCGCTGCACTGCGCGAGAAATAAAACCATTTAATTTATAATTGAACTAACATTAGCTTTTTAAATACCAAATTCGTAACACTGCCCCCTTCCCAAGGACTGCACGTCCCGGGCAGTACAATCCCTAGACAGGAAGCTAAACTTACAACTGTGGCATAAATGCAACTGAGGCATAAACATTACATTACAATATCAAACAACATGAACAATAAATGCAATAACTAACTTACACAAATCAAATACTAAATACAAAACAAATAAAATACTAAATACAAAACAAATCAAATACACATTTAAAAACAAAAAGGACCATGGTCTGATACTATTTACAATTATTTACATTATGTACTATGGTCATAGTAATTAGCTAACCTGTCGTAATGAACGACTTTAGGTTTAGTGTTCAAAGACTTACGGATCCGAACCACGACGTCATTCAGCCTGTTTAGGACCGTGTACGGACCATCCCAAGGTAACTGTAATTTCGGACAAAGTCCTTTCCGTCGAGTCGGATTCCACAACCACACCTTGTCTCCTTCGTGGAATGATGATGTCAGTAGCTCTTGTGTCGTATCTGGTCTTCCCTTTCTCCGTCGCCAAGTTGACTCGCTCTCGTGCAAAGTTGTGCATCACTTCAAACCGGGCCTGGAGATCTTGAATATATTCCTCAGACGATGAAGGAGCATCCGGAGGGCGGCCAAACAATAGATCACAAGGCAGACGAAGGTCACGACCGAAGAGCATCTGTGTGATGGAGAATAGCCGGTAGTCTCGTGGACAGCACTGCGGTAAGCCAGTAAAAAGAGTGGTAATTTCTTGTCCCAGTCCTGTTGGTTTCTGGAAACCACTAATGAGAGGTTATTAAGGATGGTTCGATTGAACCTCTCTACCATGCCGTCCGACTGGGGATGCAATGGCGTCGTTTGAGTTTTGTCAATGCCAAGTAGTTTGCATAGTTCTTTGATTACTGCCGAGGCAAAATTCCTTCCCTGATCGGAATGTAACTGAAGAGGCACTCCGAACCTGGAAATCCAGTGCTGTATCATTACCTCAGCTACTGTGACTGCCTCTTGATCAGGAATAGGATAAGCTTCAGGCCACTTGGTGAAGTAATCAATGACAACGAGTATGTATTTGTTGCCATCAGCAGTTCGTGGCAGAG